GATGTTTAAGAAAATTCATATAATTTAAAATAAATATCTAACACGCGCATTACCGATTATATTAAAATCATTTTGAAGAACCTCAGAAGGAGATTTCCAAAGAGAGATATTGTATACAAATAATCTGCTTGGAAAACTCTATCGCGTTTAAGTTTCTACCATGAAACAGTTCTGCTTGCGTGGCTGTGTTTGCATTTGAAATGTGGAATGACACAAATTATAGGCTAACAGAAGCATAAAATGTTAGTCCTTAGGAAAGACGGTGGAAGTGGTATGAAATTATAGGCATAACAGTAGACTATACACGTTACAGTTACCACTTTTCATCCGATGGACTATCAGCTTGTTTGCCATTCTAAATTGCATAAAAACCTCTATGCTGTAGTCTCTAAAAACGTATGTCCTTAAAAAATAATTAGATATCGCATACACACAAATAAAATTAAAGAATTGAGAAACCCACCAATTTGGAAATCATCGAAAAACAAATTCTTATTTCAAAACCAGTCGTGAAATAGACTGTGAAAATGAAACAAAGGATGTTTTTAATCTAGCCAGCCATTGCAGCGTCCGTGTTCCTTTTAGAATGAATTTTGAATTTATGAGTGTGCACTGACTAGCTTCTGTGTTGCTTTGGTATGTTTGTGACACGTAATATTGAGTATTTCTTATTGGCTATAAAATATTAACTGTATAAAATGCTTTTTAATATGTCTCTATCAGGATAACCTCCACGCTGTCCCCCCTAGAAAATATTGTGGTTATTTCTTTATGTATATATTTTACACTTTATTGCAGCAAGTAAAAAAAAGTAGTAAATACAGTAAATATTAATGGGAAGTGATACAAAATGCGGCCTTATATATATATATATATATATATATATATATATATATATATATATACATAAACCTATACATTGAATTGCACACATACAACAGGAGAGAACACAGGAAAATAGTACTAAAAGGAGAAGTAGTAACATTTAACAGAGGTTTTGAAGCTAGTGAAAGTTTGAGCGCACCGAATTGAGACCGGTGGTGAGTTCCTAGATAGTGATTGATTTAGAATAAAACGAAGAAGAAAAAGTAGGAAATTTGGTTAATCTCTGGTAAATAAATCATAATAAGCCAACGTGACTCATGATTAGATAAAGTAAGCGTCATTCTCATTTCTAATCCTTATCTAAAACTGTGGCTGGAGATTAATAAAACCGACGTAGGTCACGTAAATTGCATATTTGAACTTGCAAAGGAAATGGTGTAAAAAAAAAAAACGTATATTAAAAAGAATATGTAAAAAAAGATTACAAAAATACAAATATGTAAGATTCACTTGCTAAGTCGTCAATAGCAATCACTCTTTGGTATACAGATGATAGTACTAAACGTTTCTACTAAATGCGTGAAAGGACATCTTCATTATTTTTGAAAAGCTTGAGAAGTGGTTTACTGGATGATGAAATCACGTGTTCTCCAAAGTACAAAACAAGTGATAATCATTTTTAAACGATCCAAACATAATTTTGTAAAATTCAAAATTTTACGCTGATATTCGATCCTAAAGCTTCTGGATTGCAGTCAAGCATTTTTTTAGAGCTGATATTGCTGTATACACTGATGGCGAACCAGTGAAGGAATCAATGTGCTTCGTCTTCATCTATCAAGTTGATGATGAAGCAGGTCGGTTGGCCGATCGTGACGAATTTAACATCAATCATGATGATGTCCAGGGGAAACCACGCGGAGGATAATCTAATATTGTATGTTACTAGCAATGGGGCAATTAGACTTCATTATTAACAATCCTTACCTGGATCACTATTATGATATTTCTTAGATATCTTATTATTTTTATATCAGCCACTGCTGAACTGTAGGTTTTCTCTACAAGAGGAGTTTTGTCAGTAGTTGCCACACTTGGCAGGTGGATTGACAACTGCAATCAAATCTTTGGTAATGTTTTGTAACCTGGGCTGCTGCTCATTCCTCGACCGTTAAGCTCCCTAGTCGCCTCTTTGGCTACAAAAACTACTTTAATTAGAACTCATACAGAAGTCTGTAAGCATAACATTAATTATGTATAAACTAAGTACATTAAAACTCAAGAAATTTCTTATTACATCTGTGAACTATAAATTATTTATGAAAATACCTTTTGCTTTTAATTCAAGACTTTTAAAGAAATCATAAAATGGGACGATTTAAAAGATCTTGTTGATAATAGGCATGGGTAATATGGTTACCGAGGGGGGAAAGAGATTGTTAGTAATGGAGACTGAGAATCCTATTGCTAGCAATATACCCAACCAGGTCAACTTCCTCGCGGTTCTCCCTGGAAACTATCATGGTTAATTCCTGATGAATTCATCATGATGGACTAACTGACCTGTTTTCTTTCTCATCTATCACCCTCCACTGTTGCTCCGCCAGCGTATCCCATTAGCGCAGGCGGGGTTACCATACCATTTTCACCCAGCAAAAAAAAAAAAAAATATGGACACGTATCCGATATCTATATATCGGATTCCTCTGGACATTGATAGCGGTAAAAAGTTTATGACCCATATCGGTCGAATATCTACATTCGAATATGTAAAACACAAAAATCTGTTATCTAAAAAATCTATTATCCAATATTACTTTTTGGATAACAGACTTTTAACGTATTCATTATTGGACCAGTATATATATATTGTAACTAAAATATATAGATATTGCTATATATTATTCATCTCTAGTAAATAAGTCGATTTGAATAAAAAAATATGTGTACATTATATCAACACTTTATAGTAGGCTTACTATGAAAGTTTTCAACAAAATATAAATAACTTGACCTATGTAAATATATAAGGTTGACAACTCGAGCGATATCAGATAAAGGTAAATCTTCAATAGGTGAATTTAATGACCTATTATTATACCAAATACGGGGTAAATATCAACAAAATGCTTATTAACGATCACTTAATTAAATGGGATATTTTGAAGACAATTTAATTCTCTAATGTATTGAAATTTTCGTGAACAACAAACACGTCACAAATTGTTGTGGCTTATATAACGAGCAATAATTAGTTTAATAAATGTATTCAAAATCAATTGTTTTAATGGGAACGTGTTATGTATGTTTATAATAATAAGGTTCAATTTTGTTTGCATTCCCGTTGTAAGGGAATATGTTGTCTCTCTTTCTTACTGTGTTTATGGAATCGATAATGAGTGTTTTATTCAATTAAAATTCAGTTATTGATGTGTTTATAACTGGTTTTTATCCTCGATGGTGTTACTAGTTTTTTTTTAATGGATGGTAATGGAATGGTAACCCCGTCTGCGTGAACGGTATACGCTGGTTGGGCACCAGTGAGGGATGATAGGTGAGAATGCAAAGGCAGGCCAATTAGCCCATCGTGATGAATATACCTGGAATTCAGTAAAGAAGGTTTCCAGGGTGGTTTCCACGTGGTAGTCGACCTGATAGGGTATATTGCTAGCAATAGAACTGGTAGTCTGCATTATTAACAATCTTTTTCCCCCTAAGCTACAGCGACTACCATTAGACGGGCTGTATGCTTATTTGCGACATTTGTATAAAAAAGCCAGTCAAGTGCGAGTCGAACTCGCGCAACGAGGGTTTCGTATAAAATCATCAAGTTTAATTTTTGTTTTTGTGAAATAACTACAAATTTACAAGTTTTTATTTTTTTCCTTTACTTGTGCTATATGACATTGCTTCTTGTCAAATTTCATGATTATAGGTCAACGGGAAGTACCCTATAGATTTTGATTCCCTTTGCGAATGTCAAAATATGCGTTATAAATGGAACATAAACGGCCGTATCTTTTGACTGCGTCGATTTAAAAGCTTGATTTTTTCACTGCTTCAAGAGATTACAGACCTGAGTATATTATATTAACCCTTTTGGTGCCATTGATTTTTACTCATATCTACTTAAAAATGCCAAAGAAATCTTTGTCGTGTTGATGTCATTTACCCTTGTCTCTAAAAAAACTGTATCTCCTCCAAAAATTATCCAATTTTAATATTTTTTTTACAGCAAGCTAAACAGCGACTGATTCGACTCACGAGCGCCATAACGCTCGTAACACTTTTAGTTGCAATGCGCACGAGCGTGATGGCGCTCGTCGGCACTCAAAGGGTTAATTTTAACTCGATACCTCTTAAAAAGTGTAGTTTATTTATTTGCTTTGAATAGGTCATGACAAAGTTTTTATAGAATATATAAACATTTCTATATTCAGAATAAAAGGGTCTTGGCAGACGGACGGAGAACGTATAAGGGGTCCGTCTTTCCCTTTGGAACTACGGAACCCTAAAAATGATCATATTACGTACCGTCGTCGTCATAAACGGTGAGCTGCGATTATGACAGATTGCGTAAATATTCTAGCTAGTAACTTGATGCGTACATATTTGACCAAAACTATATTTGTTTATACGTGTATATATTCATCATATCAGCCTTTAAGTGTCCACTGCTGAACAAAAGCCTTCCCCTTGTGGAGTTTTGCCAGTAGTTGCCACGCTTGGCAGGCGGATTGGCAACCGCAATCAGCCTTTAGAGATGTTTTAAGAGGGATTATATATATTTTGCTGGGTGAAAATGGTATGGTAATCAGCGTAAGCAGCGCAGGTGCCTGTGCGTTAGCGCAGGTGGGGTTACCATATCATTTTCACCCATAAAAAGAGACTCCTTGCTTGTGCCTTCTTCTATAGGTATTCCGTCACCCGTATCCAATAGCGAGGACGGGATGCCTTAAATACTGTACCGCAAACCATAAAAAAGACTCTTTGCTTATTAATTTGTTAAGGCCTAAAGATTACCGCACATTAAAGAAGGGAGAGATGTGCAAATGTTGCTTAGTATTTGATCCTCCACTAGATGGAGTGACTTGAGATCGTCACTCCATCTAGTAGAGGATCGGAATAGGGGATAAAAAGGTGATAATTCTATAAAATAAAACAAAACATCCGACATATATAATTTGTATTAAATCAACAATATTCTTAGTCTTTACATTCTTTGGTATAAGTTAGCAGCTCATTTAGGTACAATTAATCGTAATTAAATTCACAATTTCTCCCACGGACTGTATCGAATACATCTACTTATTTATAATTTACCTAAATTATTATTTATACAGTACATACAATGTCTATGTATTGTTCGCCCATAAAATTATATATAGGAGAAGTAGTGGTTGGCACGCTTGCAGCTTGGCGGCGGACCCTGGTGACGTCACTGGAAAAGAAAAAAGTCAATTACAGGGTTGTCAAAAATGAAATAATTATTATTTCTATTATACAGGGCAAATTTTAAATTATTAGTTTTTTTTAATGAACAGTCCGCTAGTACTAGTGAAATTTTTCACCAAAGACATTTTTTTTTCATCATTATTTTTATATTTTTCAATTCATAAAAAAAATTTAGAGCGTTCCATAATAGCACTGTGCGTATAACTGTTAAATTAATAAAGTCTCGAAATTTTTTATTCGTTTCTGAATTTTCAACTAACTTAAAAAAGAAGAAGATTTTCAGTTCGGTTGTATTTTTTTTTATGTTTGTTACCTCATAACCCTATCAGTAATATACTTTTTTTATCTGAAAGGATATACTTATAGATTAGTTTTATCAAAGTCGATTCAGTAGTTAAGTTTTTAAACTGGTCAATATTTACACATAGAACGAAGAAAAAAAGAAAGAAAGAAAACATTTATTGCCAACAACAAAAAGAGTTAGGTACATCAATTATCAATAGATTAAAAAAATTACATTTGTTATTGCCAACATAGGACAGATTTATCCTAATTCATACGAACAGAGCAATAGAGCACAGCTAGTATACGATAAATTATACGCACATTATATATATAATTACAAAAGATTTCCCAACTTTTTTAAAAACCATTGTTTACTCATATTTCCTCTGTAAATTAATTCATCCAAACACAAGCGCTCTCATGAACTACATAATTAATAATAGAGGGCTCCGAGCATATTCTATAGTTACTGAGCGTCACTATTTCGCTTCAGAAAGGCCTTTGTAACTTAATTTGTTAAGGCCTAAAGACCACCGCTCATTGGAGATGGGAGAGATAGAAATGTCGCTTAGTATTATGTAAATATCAAGTAATTAGGAGTTAATCTGCTAACTTGATTATATTGTAGCGTTATAATTACTATAAGTGTGTTTGTTCGTGATTTTAACTAATTTAATTTGATATTTCTAACATCAACCATCGACCCAGAATTGATGAATTGGTTAATCAAAACTCATCTTTAAATGTCATAGACGACCTTCATAGTATGATGATTAGCACGTTGTTTTATGTAAATGAGGACCAAGGTTCGGTTACTGACTGGGCCAATTTAAGAATTGTGCCTTTCTGAATTGGCTAGTGTCTGAGTGCTCTAGGTTATGGCTCCAGGTGCTCATTGCTTATTTTCACACAACATAAAGAATTTTAACTTGAAGATTATAGGCGACGGTTACCACTTTCCATCAGGTGGATCATCAGCTTGTTTGCCATTCTAAGTTGTATAAAAAAAAAGAGTTTATGGTGACTGTATGGCATATATCGTAATATAATAAAAAAAATACATTAGCATAGTATCCGCGCTTAGAAGCTGGCGAAAGAAGCCTCTCCTCGAAGCACAATCTTTCGCTTTATGTTACTTACTCAAAATGTACACGCTTCAATATATTTTTTTGTTAAACTTTGTATTTCGACTTGAAAACAAATTCAAAGGGAAATCTTTATATTTCAATAAATTCTAATCCTTCCGTTTCTAAATACATAGATTATACAAACACCATTAACTATAAGTTATTATCAAATGACTCTATTGTATTACACAAAGGTCTTTGTAATTTAATTTGTTCAGATCTAAAGACCCCTTTTCAGTGTGCGGTGCGTATACTGGAGGAGGGAGAGCTGGAAATGTCATTTAGCATTATGCAAATATCAAGTAATTAGGAGTCTATCTGGTAACTTTATTAAATTCAAACCATATTAATGACTAGCTGAATCCTGTGGCTTCGCACGTGGATGTTTAATGATACTCTTTCGTGTTATTATATTAATATAGATATGATCTCGCATTTCATCATCATCATATCAGCCATAACTGTTCACTGCTGAACATAGGCTTTCCCTATAAAAAGAGTTGCGTCAGTGGTTTCCACGCTTGGCAGAAGAATTGGTAACTGCAGTTAAGAATCGGTTAGGTTCAAAGAGGGACGCTACTGCCCATCCCTTGACCATTTAGCTTCCTTAGTCGCCTCTTACGACACCCACAGGAAGAAAAGGGGTAGTCCATTCAATGCCAAATTTACATGAGATGATCAAACATTTGTATTGTATATTATTCATTTATAAGCGAAAACTAGAAGTTAGGACCAGGCACGGTAATATCGATATCACGCCAATATCTGTATATTGGGTGTTTCTGCACATTGATGACGGTAAAAAAGATTATCACTAAATTTACCGTCTTTAACTAAACCGTCTTTCAAAAAAAGCGTTCACGCTCACTTTTTATCTTTATCCGAGCAGTAAGTGCTTTATATTATTCTCAATTTCGTGTATAATATAGTATATATCATATATGTGTAGGTATATTTGTTATTCATATATATTTATATGTTTATATATGTAATTTTAGTATGTATGTGTATCAATAATTAGTAGTACCGCATTCGAGTATTCTGACACTGCCCTATGGTTGACTGGGAGAGAATGCTTTTAGTATTAAGTCCGCCATGTACACATATTTGTACTAATGAATAAATAAATAAATAAATAAATATCGCCCATACCGGTTAGATATATAGATATATATTAATTTCTATATTGTATATCCTATATTTAATATATTCGTTATTGGATCAATATATACATATTGTGATTGCAATATATAGATATTGCTAGATGTTACCCAACCCTAGTCGAAACTACGAGCCCTCACATAAAACAATAGTTTTTGGAGTGTTTACAAATCATTACACGACACAATACACAATAACTGCATAAGGAAACATAGTACAAAGGGAAGCTTTGACGCAGAATTTATGCAATTGACTTCTATGTTAAAAAAAGAACTGTAAAAAATGTGATTTGTAAAAAATACTATGTTAATTTTTTTTTATTTTTTTTATACAACTTAGAATGGCAAACAAGCTGACGGCCCACCTGATGGATTTAGGTGTTATTCCTTTGTACCCAGGAGTCCTCAGGAACGGCAACGCATGGGGGGTATACTGCTCATGTCTATAGGCGACGGTTACCACTGTCCATCAGGTACTGCTCATGTCTATAGGCTTGTTTGCCATTCTAAGTTGTATAAAAAAAAAAAACAGTAAATTCACGCCATATCCCACCCTTCAAACCGAAATACAGCCATGCAAACACCTGCTTCACGGTTGAAACACGAATGAGACAGAGGTACCCAAGCAATCGACTTTTGTACAAAAAATTATACATAAATTTACAGGTATTTTAATTTTTTTTTATTTCATACTCCTTTTATATTCGCGTAGATTTAGTGTTAGTTTTTGTATTATTATTTTTAATAATATAAAAGATATTATTTTAATAATATTAAATACTAGGCGTCATGTAACCATATTTATTTATTTATTTATTATTATTTGACAATAAATACAAAGTTACAAGCACAAGATACAGTCAGTCATGTCGTACAGGGAGGTTAAAGATATAGCCTGATATAGACCTGGCTGGAAGAAAATGCATGAATTACATAGTTGCACAGACAAGAGAACATTCTAAAAATGAAAAACTCTTTGGCTATAAAATCGCATTCCTTCGTCTCGCCAAAAAGACTTTAATAAAAATTAAGTCGACGTATTGCTGTGGTGGGTTTCAAATGTAAACATTCGAAACACGAAGGATCTCAGACAGCGACACTGTGGGCGGCCCACGTCACCCACGCCGTATGAATCATCCGTTATCAATCTGTAATTCGATATGATAATCGAATCTAATGTCGAATGTGTAATTCAATTTTCGCTAATAAAGGCGAACGAATTGACAAGCAACTATTTTACGAATAATTTTCAGTTTTATTTATTTAATTATTCATTTACATTTATAAAAGTAATAAGATAGATAGTATTATAGATACAAACAATTACCTACAAGAAATAATCAAAGTGCAGTGCAAAATAAATAGGTATAGTTAATTGGAGTGAGAAATGGTGCAAAAGGCGGCCTAATTGCTTGGGTACCTGTGTCCCATTCGTGTTTCTATCGTGAAGCAGTTGTGCACAGCCACGCAATGTTTCGGTTCGAAGGGTGGGATATGGCGTGAATTTACTGGGAACACTCATATACTATAGGAGTACTCAATAGGGTGAGACGATATTTCATGCCAGAACACCGCCTGAAATTATATAAAGCCCAAGTCAGGCCGCATATGGAATACTGTTCTCACCTGTGGGCAGGAGCGCCACAGTACCAACTCCTTCCGTTAGACCGCATTCAAAGTCGGGCGGCTCGAATTATCGATAGTCAACGCCTTACTGTCCGACTCGACCCACTGAAACTGCGCAGAGATGTTGCGTCTCTGTGCATCTTCTACTGAATTTATCATGGGGAGTGTTCTGAGGAATTGTTCGGATTGATACCTGCTGCTGATTTTCACCACCGTACAACCCGCCACAAACTAAAGTTTCATCCCAATCATCTGGACGAGTGGCGGTCTTCCACCGTGCGTTTTTCAAGGCACTTTCTTCCACGCACAACCATTCTTTGGAATCAACTTCCAGCAGCAGTATTTCCGAACCGATACGACAACATAACCTTCAAGAAAAGAGTATATTCCTTTTTAAAAGGCCGGCAGCACACCTGCAATGCCGCTGGTGTTATGGGTGATCATGGGCGGCGGTAGTCACTTACCATCAGGTGAGCCGCATGCTCGTCTGCCCCCTGTGTTGTAAAAAAAAAAAAAAAAAAAAACAGAGGAATAAAACCTGAGTCCTCAGGAATGGCAACGCATGGGGGGTATCATGGGCGAAACTGTATACTCTGTTATGTCCATGGTACTGCTCATGTCTATAGGCGACGGTTACCACTTTCCATTAGGTGGGCCGTCAGTATGTTTGCCATTCTAAGTTGTATAAAAAAAAATCGCTAAGCAATCTCTTCCAGACAGCATTTGGGTTTATTTATTTTCACTATAAAACCACAATAAGAATCAAGTATACCAAAAACCATAGAGGC